GGGTGTGTTTTCTACAGAGGAAATTCTCTTCCAAATGATTCCTGTGTGGTCACTGCTTTCAGCTTTGCAACCCCAAGTGATAGATAGGATGATTCCCATGAGATCGATAAGGAAATAGAGGCATCTCATGTCACAGTGGACTGAGACTGGATTCAATCCCTGTTGCTGGATCTGAAGCATTCTAGCACGAATTCCAGTGTGGGCAATGGCTAGCATTGCAATCACGGAAGCAGAGGAGTAACTGGTCAGAGTCTCACTTTAGAGAGATCACTGCAGGATTGAGGGTGCACTGGGAGGAAGTCGGAAGGTTGTTTCAGGAGGCTCTGAGCAGTGAGACGGATCCAAGCCAGAGATTCAGGCACCGCTGGAGGGAGGGACTCAGAGCTTTGTCTTACTCGTGAGCAGGTTTTACCCGAGGACATGAAGCTTTCCCACATAGGCCACTTCAGTGGGGTTTGCTGTCTGCATCTGTGCAGGGAAGGAGATGAGGGCAGTGCTTGGTGCAGTCAACCCTGCTCCTCGCTCGGCTGCTCCTTTAAGGGTTTTAATCTTCCTTCAGTGGACAGACTTAGCTGCAGCTCTGCTCTCAAGGTCAACGCATACCAGTGGTAGCCTGGAAATGCCGTCTCCAGAAATGACACTTGACTTTATTCCCCTCGTGTTTGCTGTCTCAACGTGGCTGACTTTCTAAATACGAATGGACAGCTCTGGTTTTGAAGGCATATTATCAAGGTGATTCACAGCCAGGGATACATTTACAAACCATGCCTGCATGATAGATACACTCTTTTAGCTCTTCCTCCCACACCCCCTCCCTCTCCCTATCTCAATCGGATTCTACTCCCTGTCAGCTTCAACTAGATACAGCGTGAGTCCCCCTCCTTAGCAGGCTTTTATCTGTACCTCTCAGCTCCTCTGACTCGTGTTTGATGGCTTAACTCTTGAGGCTTAAACCATTTCCCAAAGAGCCCCGCTAAATGACATCCCTACACCCTGTGCTTTGGGAAGTTGTTCAAATGCTTTGAAACAGCTCAGTATAGGATAGAACAAATGTCCAAACCCATTGTCACAGAATCACTAGCTCCTCATGGCACCCTCATGTGCTACACAGTAGAACGGTGCTCCATAGGGTTGTCATGCCTGTGATTTTTTAAAAATCATTTTATTGAGGGCTCTTACAATTCTTATCACAATCCATACATACATCTATTGTGTCAAGCACATATGTACATTTGTTGCCCTCATCATTCTCAAAACATTGGCCTTCTACTTGAGCCCTTAATATCGGCCGCTCATTTTCCCCCTCCATCCCCCCTCCCCTCTCCCTCATGAACCCTTCATAATTCATAAATTATTATTGTTTTGTCATATGTTACACTGTCTGACGTCTCCCCCCCGCCCTCTTCTCTGCTGTCCATCCCCCAAGAAGGAGGCTATACGTAGATTCTTGTAATCGGTTCCGCCTTTCCACCCCACATTCCCTCCACCCTCCAGGCATCGCCACTCTCACCACTGGTCCTGAAGGCATATCTCTCCTGGGTTCCCTGTGTTTCCAGTTGCTTTCTGAACCAATGTACATCCTCTGGTCTAGCTAGATTTATAAGGTAGAATTGGGATCATGATAGTGGGGGTGGGGTGGGGGAGGAAGAATTTAAGAACTAGAAGAAAGTTAATGTTTCATCGTTGCTACCCTGCACCCTGACTGGCTCATCTCCTCCCCACAGCCCTTCAGTAAGGGGGTATCCAGTTGCCTACCGATGGGCTTTGAGTCTCTACTCTGCACTCACTACCTTTACAATGATATGATTTTTGGTTTCCAAGCCATCACTGGGTAGGTTTGAACCACCAACCTTTCAGTTAGGAGCCAAGTGCTTCTACATTTCAATGAGGGTCAGTTCTTAGGACTGTTTTAAATTTGGGAACACTCTCTGATTTGAAATGCACTGACTTGCTTGGGACTCTTGGCTTAGGTATATGGCCAGAGGAGGAGTCCCCATGTGTCAGTGGGGTCACTATGGGCAAAGATACCAGGGCTTAGGAGTGGAAGCTGCTGCTTCTTGCCTCTGAGTACAAGCAATCACTTGTTAAGCTTCATCGGACTGTCTGCCTATGGGAGCACTCTCCTAGGCCAGCACAGAGTCAAGTCCAAGTACCCTTGGAGTCCCAAAGATCTTTAGAGGGTACATAAGATAAAAGATACATTTATAATAACACCAAGGAGTTGGTTTCCTTTTTAACTCTTGGAAAGTTCTAGTGCAGCATTCTCAACCTGTAGGTTGCGACCCCTTTGGGGGTCAAGCGACCTTTTCACAGGCATTGCCTGATTCATCACATTAGCACAATGACAGGAAGTAGCAATGAAAATAATTTTATGGTTGGTGGGGTGGGAGGTGGGGTGTCACCACAACATGAGGAACTGTATAAAAGGGTCATGGCATGAGGAAGGTTGAGAACCACTGCTCTAGTGGGTAAAGCTGCTGTCTTCTTGGCACCAGTCAAGCAGTGGCACCAAACTTTACTGGTGGTCATTGTATCTTCTTCACCAACAAATATGACCAGTACCATCCATGGTGGGGGAGGGGGGGCAGGGTGAGGGCTTAGGGGGAGAAGCCAATTTTATTTGTGGATGGCCTTGATGTAGCTTAATTTGTTAAATATTATTATAAAGATATTTTATTAACCAGTGATTACATGTTGGGCTGCTACCTGCAAGAGCAGTTCAGAACCTCCAGCGGCTCTGTGGGGAAAAGATGAGCCATTCTACAGTGATAGTCTCAGAAACCCACGGGGCAGTTCTGCTGTGTCCCATAGGACCACCAGGAGTCTGCAGGCAGACTCATTTTGGGGGTTATCAACCCTAGAGTTCACATATTTTGAAGAAACTCTGTGGCACAATGGGAATGCACAAAAAAGCACATCTGTATGCCGGCACACAGGGAGAAGCACTTGTGTTAGGAAACGGTGAGTTGAACTAGCCACTTTTTTGGCAAAAGATAATTTTCTACTGAAAAAAAAAAAAAGATTGACAGCCATACGTTTGATTATTTGTTAAAAGAAATCAACAAGATGAATCAAGATGGTTGATTTTTAGAAGAACAACCGAAAGTACCTGTTACCAATGATAAAATTCAGTCTTTTATCTGTGAGCTTGGAAGCCTGCCATATGTACAAATTGATGAGATCCATGGTGATGTGTGTACATACACACACACACACACACACACACGTGTGTATATATGTATGTACTTTATAATAAATACACCAACATTTAGGAGATCACTATAACCCACTGAACCCATATTCCCAAATGATCAATGCCTGGTGTGATAAAATTTTGCATAAGTAAAAGATCCATTTTCAGAGCAAGATAACCTGTTAAACCAATCCCGTTGCTGTTGCATTGATCCTGACTCACGGCAACTCCACATTACAGAGCAGAGCTGTTCCATAGGATTTTCCTGGCTATTGTCTTTATGGAAACAGGTTGCCAGACCTTTCTTCCATGATGCTACTGGGTGGGTTCAAACAATCTACCTTCAGTGTAGTATCCCAGCATTTGATTGTTTGCACCATCAACAAACCTCTTAAGCGCAAAATAGACCAGTGGATTTCAATGTAACGCAACATAAAAGTTGACCACGGTTTCAAACACCACATTTAAGCTAGCTTTTAAGAAAGTACCAGTGTCGAGCTTTGATGTAATATCAAGGAAGAATATCCACAGTTACTAGAAAGACTCTTGAAGGGCTCCCTCTTTTCAAATCTGGGTGCTCATACTCATGTATTTAATCGAAAACAGCACAGCGCAACAAATTGGATGCAGAAGCAGATATGAGAAACCACCTGTCTGCTATAGAGCTCAGCAGTTAAAAGAGCTTTAAAACAGTATCACTCATCACTGTTTTTGTCTTATTCTTTTAGAACATATAGACCATGATTCTTTTAAAACGAATGAATCGATAATTTAACATTTCTGGTTTACTTTCTAATGTGGTAAACATCACTAGGTTGTCGCTACATAAGCAAGAGTTCTTTGGGCTGTGAATACTTTTCAAAGGTTGCCCTGAGGAAGAAAGATTTCTGACTCAAAGAAAATTTGAGATTTTGTGACAAAACATGATTCCATAAAAATAAACAAGGCGATTCCTTACCCAAACAAAGCAGCTTATTTAACTGTGAAGTTAAGAACTGGTGTTTAATTGGAAGTTCCAAGTTATTTGACATTTATACAAAGCATAAAAATCAACCCAAGCCCCATTGCCAACAGGTTGATTCAGACTGCAAGGAAACTTAGCTGTCCCATATGCTTTCCGTGGCTGTTCTATTCAAAGAAGCAGTTTGCCACCATGTTTCTCCCACAAGTGACTGGTGTGCTTGAACCACTGACCTTTCATTTAGCAGCCACTCACTTAACCACTGTGCCACCAGAGCTCATATCAGCATGTTATTGTCATCAGGTGCCACAGAGGCAGCTCTGACTCTCAAAGAGATGCTGTCTGTGTACGACAGGACAGAGCACTGCCTGGTCCTTCGCCACCCTCAGTTGTTGCTGTGCGTGAGCCCACTGTTGCAGCCACTGTGGCAATCCAGCTCATTGAGGGTCTTCCTCGTTGTCACTGATCCAAAATGTAGGTGCCTTAGGGATCCAGAAGCATTTTCCTCAAAAAGGCAGATAAGAATATTTTAGGCCTTGTGGACCATATGGTGTCTCTTTTGCAATAACCTGAAGCTGCTATATGGACAATATATACACGAATGAGCTTCTCCGTGCTGCAACAGAATTTTCTGCACTGAAACAGGTGGCAGATCACGTTTGGCCCACAGGTCATGGTATGCTGATGCCTACAAAACTTTACCGGATATCTGAACTTTACCGGTGCATCAAATTAGCTTCAAGTATTGAAAGATTTTACTTTAACATCCTCCCCCCACCCCACCCCCACAGATTATGTGATTCTACAGAGGAAAAAAAAGTAAGCTTGTCACTTATGTGCCTTTAGATTCTCATGATGCAGTTTTGAGGTTTAACTCTGCTCCTACACGTGGTTATGAGAAAGATGTTGGAAACAAAACCACCCTGCGCATCATCAATTCCCAGGTAAGAAGGAGGGGATGTTGTAACAGGTATACACTTGGTAGGCAAAGAGTTCAACCGGAGGAGTGACAAGAAATGGACTCCTCGTCCATCTGGTTATTTCTAGGAGGTCTTGTAATGAAAAGGGGTGGGGATCAGAGAAATAAGGAGTTATACGACAGGTATAGGAAAAATAAGATACAAAGGAAATGTTTGAATATATATAATTTATATATATACATGCATATATTAGCATATTGCAATTTGTAAACTGAGGGAAATTCTGCCTAACAGCAAATAAATAAATAGATAGATAAATAAATAAATAACAAGGGCAACGCGACAGGATCGGAATGAAGAAAAGCAACAGTACAAGGAGGTAGCCTGCATGTGTTATTACACAATCCCTTTGTGCCAGCATCCTCTTAGGCCCTGTATGTTTCTCTCATTTAGGCAATAATTCTAAGTGACTATGACTCCCACTTTATGAAGAGGAAGCTGAGCATTGAGCGATCAAATACTTAGCCATGGTCATTCAGCAAGCATGGACAGTGCGATCCCAGCTGTCACACCATGGCCCCTGGTCACTGGCATCTAAAGAGAGATTCTGGGAAAACCTCCAATTCTTCAAAAACCAACAAAAAGTATTCTACTGCACATTCCCTACCTCTTGAGTCACTGAAAAAAAAATCCAACTGTGATTGAGCCTTTATGAAAATACAGACTCTCTTTAGACCCCTGCTTGTTGTAGAATGACATAGTGGTTACACATTGGGCTGCTAACCGCAAAGTCAGCAGTTTGAAACCACCAGTGGCTCAGCAGGGGAAAGATGAGGCTTTCTGCTCCTTAAAGAGGTACAGCCTCGGAAACCCACAGGGGCAGTTCCACCCTGTCCTGTGGGGTTGCATCGCCTTGATGGCAGTGAGTTTTGCTTTGTTTTGGGTACAAAATAGATTATCTATTTCTTAACACAGCCCAGCTTTGTCACAGTTTATTGAGAAGCCACCTACAGGCATAACATGTGTTAGCAAAGTTTGCACATGTATTCCAGGCATGGGGTATTACTAAGAGCTAGTGGATACTCTAAGCACAAGGTCACTCATTAAAATCCATAGACCACGCTTCAAGAGAGCAATCGGGCTGTTTACCCCTGAAAAGTTTTAAAGCCTCAGAAAGGCACAGAGGCAGTCCTACTCGGTCCTGTGAGGTCACTGTGCGTTGGAATGGACTGGCTGGCAGTGGGTTAGGTTTGATTTGAGAGCGGCTCCTCATTTAGTAAATTATATCTGAGCGTCTGGAGAGGAGCGTTGGAGTTTAGTCCAGTAATTTGCAATGTTTCTTAAAAATGAAAATTGCCCTATTATAAATGAAAGAAAAAAAGCTCCAAACCCTTATGTATGTTCTTTTTAGAAAGTCTTCCAAATGTACAGCAGAATTCTTCTCAGCACAAACCACAGCAATTTCTAGAGTTTCAGCACTGTGTAGCAAAGAAATGAGAAGCTGAGTGACTTATTATGAGTTCCTTGCAGAACAAAAGCCTAGCTTTCTGCATAGTTCAAACTGAGCCAGGCAGCCTGCAGCGAGTTATGAAACAATTACCGTATTTCCTTAATTCACTTGTCGTGAATGGTAAGATCCACCATTCGTCTAATGACAGCTTTCCAGAGAGGAGTAGAGAAACCCCATCACATTAAAATGCATGTCATCTGGAAGACGCAGCCTACCTTCAGACACATGAAAATGTGGAGAAGACATGAAAGCGCTCCTTGGAACTGAGGAAAAACATCATGTTATACCCCCCCCCCCCCAAAAAAAAAGAAAGGTAGTTCAGAAAGAAAAGATGATTGGCAGATGAGATTGAAGAACTCATCCAGAACTAGATTGAGTCACCGAGGGAGGACTCTCCTACCCGAGGGCAGATTCTAGTCGATGGCTCTTTCTGTGTCCCGCCTGTCCTGAGGCTACCACTCTGCAGGCGCCGAATAACCCAATTCATCCACCCAGCCTCTCGCTCCAAATTACCTGCCAAAGCAATTGTAGAGGCAGAGGGTAGGATGGGAGCCCCTGAAGGAGCTAGGGGAGCTGATTCAATACTACCAGGTGGGACAAAGTGCTGGTGAATATTTAAAGAGTGGTACTGAAAAAGAAGAATTCTCTCCAGCCCAAGCCCGAAACATTCTGGAACTGCTCCGCATGCTTCGCCCCTCTCCAGGTCCCACAGGAAAACAGAAAGTCTGAGGAGCATTTGCCACTTGTTTTGATTCTTCTTTTTAACTTCTGTGTTTGTGGAAAGTCAAGATTTGGAGGAACGGAATGACAGTGTTGACCTTTTCTCCTCTGTCTATTGGCAGATTCTGACCAACCCCAGCCATCACTTTATTGACAGCTCATTGTATAAAGATGTCATTTTAGTGGCGTGGGACCCTGCTCCTTATTCTGCCAACCTCAACCTTGTGAGTATTTCCCTTGGGGCCTGACCTAGTCTCCTAGGGCTCTGTTGCAGAAATACCACAAGTGGGTAGCATTATGAAAAAGAAATGTGTTTTCTCACAGTTCAGGAGGGTCAAAATCCCAGTTCAGGGTACCAGCTCCTGGGGAGGTTCACTCTCTTTGACAGCTCTGTAGACTAGCCCCTGAGTCCTCTGTTTCCTTGGCAGTCTTCATGAGGCATCTGCCTTCCCTGGTCTGGGTTTCCTTGTCTGTATCCTTGTGTATATTCTGCAAACATGAACCTGGTGAGTGTTTTCCTTTGGGGCCTGTCTTAGTTTCCTAGGGGTCTGTAACCACAAGTCCTCCACTGATAAAACCTCGTTACCACCCCAAGGGACAGCCTATTCCCAAATGGGACCACCTCTGCAGGGATGGGATGCCAACACATATTGTGAGGGAGCAAAATTCCAACCATTGAAGTGTTCCTACCTCAACCATCAGGCCATCCTTTGCCTGATCAGTAATGAGAGCAAGTCAAGGATTAAACTGCGACAGACAGAATGAAACTGATTGTGGCTACTAATTACCTCCATAGGGGTTAACACCACTTTCATCCCTGGTTTCAGGAACGCACTTGGTGAACCTTAGCCAACTCATGTGGGAGTGCTTCTGTTCTGGAAGATTTAAGAAAAGAGGAAGAAAAAGAAAAAACAGTAGAATGTCTAAATGTTTAGAAAATCCTGGTTATATTCTGGATGCCGGGCTAATTAAACCCAGAGTTTTTGAAATTGCAGCAGGGTTACATCACCTTCTAAGTAGTTACAAGACCTTTTGAGGTAAATTGGAAGTGCTTGGCAAGAGAATCTACATTTTGTGCATCAACAACTCATTATTATTCCAGTGAAATCAGCTCCAGGCGTTTGTTGAGTGTGCCTCTCTGCCTTCTGCCACTCAGCCTGTTTAATCCTAGGATCTTAGGCGATACAGTCGAAATAAGATTATTACTAGCTACCAAAATACAAGCAAATTATATTAGTGGAGTTGCAGTAAATAATAGCCTGTCGGGGAGGGGGAGCGGGGAGGGAGAGGTAAAAATGAGGAGCTGATACCAAGGGCTCAAGTAGAAAGCAAATGTTTTGAGAATGATGATGGCAACATATGTACTAATGTGCTGGAAACAAATGATGTATGTACAATGATCCCCCAATAAAAGTATTTAAAACACAATTCTGAAATGTAATAAAATATATGGTGGATTTAATATATGTTAAAAAAGGTATTTGCCATGAAGAAATCATTGGTCTTGCAAAATTTTATAATTTGA